ATTGGATGGTCTGGTGTCCGTATTTTGATACACAGACTAACAGTAAAAGGTTTTCCTGGCACACTCACAAGCTAGCATGTAAAAAAACTTGTCTCACCTCTAGGGTTAAAAACAGAGGTTTGGATACATGTCTTCTGCAGAAAATGTGAAAGTCGCACAGCCGCGCAAAGGCACCTCTTATAGTGCAGTCCTAACTCTAAACTATGAGAGTCTCCATCTTGGAGCACATGGGGCAAAAGATGAAATTGGGTGCAGGTTTGTCCGGAGGAAGCCCAACCTCCCTAAAGGAGAACTATGGAGTTAGGGCTTTTCCCCATAGTTCTACTTAGGGTAAAGGGAGGACACAAACTAGCGTCCTCCCGTCACCCTAAGCTCAGTATACTGAGACGCCGCAGCTGAAACGGATGCAGACAATTATGTCTGGATCCGCCCAGCTGCTTGAGTGACAGCTGGCTCTGCCTATCTAGAGGCAGAGCCATCTGTACCCGCCCCCCTCCATCGTCTGTTCCGCCAGTCAGCGCTGGAGGAGCGGGGAGGGGAGAATCCAGTCCATCCCGTGACATATTCGAGAAGTAAGCGAACCCGGTATGTGTTCGCTCACTTCCCGATCTACTGAGCCGACCTGTGACAGTCTCATTGTCACAGGTCGGCTAGAACTATGAGGATGAGTGAAAAGCACTCACCTAATAGTTCTCCTTTAAAGGCACAGCAACGCACAAGGGATCCCGCACATCCCAATGGCAGCTGAGACCCCCCATGCATCACTGCATTTGTTTTGCTTCATACACAGACTGGCACACCCACTGCAAGTAGGCCAGGGTTGTTGCAGGCCAGATGTGGCTCATGGTCCGTAGTTTGGAGACCAGAGTTTGAGCTTTGAGGAATGTAGGGAATAGATAAAACCCTGTGACATGTTAATTGATGTTTCCTATTGGGGAGATTTCCCCATCCTATCCTAGTGACATGGAGGTCAGAGGGACAGGAAGTAATAGGAAATCTCCCCAATAGGAACCGAGAGAGCAATGGAGCCTTTTCACTTTTGAAAAAACATTTGTGAAAATGCAAGTTTTTTTACACAAGAAAAAAACAAAACGTTTAAAACTGAAAACATCAGATATGTTCTCAAAGCAGAGGACCAATAGCATAAAAACACGGCAGTTCAAGTTTTCTTATGTCACACTATATTGGCACAGATGTTTATCAAATCTATATTTTCAGTACAAAATCTTCAAAATATTTTGGATTAGTCCACACAAACCCAATAAAATCTTCACATTTTCTGTAAAATTTAGAACACGAGTCCAATATAAATAGATAACATGTATCATTTACACAATTTCTGAAAATATGTTGTGCGAAAGCCTTGGGGAGCTGCAGCTGACTTTAGTTCTGCCTTAAAGGAGAACTATGGGGTCAGGGCTTTTCCCCAAAGTTCTCCTTAGGGTAACGGGAGGACACAAACTAGCGTCCTCCCGTCACCCTAAGCTCAGTAGCTCGCGGTATACTGAGTCGCCGCAGATGAAGCGGATCCCGACAATTATGTCTGGATCCGTGCAGCTGCATGAGTGACAGCTGGCTCTGCCTATCTAGAGGCAGAGCCAGCTGTACCCTCCCCCGTCCGATGCACCAGTCAGCGCAGGTGGATCGGAGCGGGGGGAATCCAGCCCCTCCCCTGTCACGGCAGAGAGCTGTGACAGGATCGAGAAGTGAGTGAATGCCGGTATGTGTTCGCTCACTTCCCGATCTACATATTGAAGATGCACCAACACCACTTTTTCAGGATCGAGCATGAGTACCGATATATTTTGGTTTCGGTACTCTCCGATACCGAGCACCGATACCGGTGCTTCCGCTGGAATGGAGCCAGCTTCCCGGGCAATCAGGAAGCCGGGCGGCGAATAATGATATGCCGCTCTGCTTCCTGATTGCCCAGGAAGGTGGCTCCATGTTGTTTGGCCAGCTCGATTGTGATAGTGCGGGAAACTGACTTCCCAGACAATAAGCGCCGAGCCCGCTTCCCGGCCAAACAGGAAGCCTGGCTTCGAGTAATGAACGCCTCCCTGCTTCCTGATTGGCCAGGAAGCCGGCCCCATGCTGATTGGCTGGAAAGTCGGCTTCCCAGCTAATCAGCATCGAGCCGGCTGTTTGGTCGGTATGCTGATTGACCAGGAAGCCGGCTTCCCAGTCAAGGAGCAAGATGCTCGGCCGCCTCAATTCTGATTGGGGGCGGGAAGCCAGCTTCCCGGCCAATCAGCAAGGAGCAGGCTGTTCAGCCAGCTCAATGCTGATTGGTCAGGAAACTGTCCTCCCAGCCACTCAGCATGGAGCTGGCTTCCCAGACAATCAGGAAGCCAGGAGGGTCATTACTCGCAGCCCGGCATTCCTGATTGCCCAGGAAGCCGGCTCCATGTTCCCCTGCAGTACAAATACTCGGTATTGGCACAGATACCGATACTAGTATTTGTGCATCCCTATAAAACCTTGGTTCTCAACTGGTGGGTCGTGACCCAAAAGTGGGTCGCGACCTCATGTTCAGTGGGTCACCGCATGCCTTCCACTTTTCTAGGTGGGAGGCTCCTCAGCCTCCCCCTAGTCCCCCCCCCCGTAGTGCAGCATTGTGCATTCTTACACCAAGCAGCCATTCAAAATATGCTGCCCAGCGCCAAGTGTTGAGATGGGGTGGGTTGGGGGAATGGCCGCGAAGGAGCTCCCTTCATACTTTCAGCTCCCTCGCATGTCCTGTAGAGGTGCCTGGACTGAAGTGACATCACATTCTGGGTCCCAGAGCAGCTATGCCTGTATAGCACATGGCACATGTGAGCTGCACAGGCAATGCACATATGGATGACGCTCCATCACAGCACAGCAGCCCACACTGCCATATGTTCCATTGCAGTGCGACTTGGGTCGCGACTTAATGATCGAGGACAAATGTGGGTCCTGAGGTTACACAGGTTGAGAACCACTGCTATAAAACATACTCTTCCCAATACTTAGAGCCAGCATGGTACACTGCAGCTGGCACACACTGGCTCTATATATCGAGAACTGAGTGATCATGTAACTGCTGATCGTTCAGCTCACAGTCTCCTCCCTGTAGAGAACAGATCACTGTCAGTTAGCGCTCCCCGCAGGGATTCCCCACTCCCCTCTCTGTGCTAGAGAGGCAGACCTTTAGGGGGCGGGCAGAGCTGGCTCTGGTTCTAGATAAGCAAAATCAGCTGTCAATCAGACAATATTGCAATGTCCGCATATAGTGGGCACTAGCCCACTCACTGACTTTGGGTCACAGGACTACAACAGTAAGTATTTCTCTGACACAAAAGTGAAGTAAGCCCAAAAAGGTTTGGCCTTACTATTTTAATCATACAGTTTTCTCTTATCTCCCTTACAATGTCTCACAAATACCAGTTGATCCTGCCAGTGAAGGAGCTTCCTCATGGTGCTTCCTTTTATGAAATGTGAACACTGCTGCACTGCACCTGAAATCAGAGCAGCGTTGTCACCATCATGTAGGCTTTGTCGGCTTGCACTACACAGAGATGAAGATGTTTGCAGGGGGTGTGGCTATCAGCATTGTCCCTGCGGATTCATTAGACTGTAGCTTGTCAATCATTACCTGGGCCACAACTAGTCCTGTCCACTGCATGCTGGACTGACAGAACTGCTTCTATTGCTGTGCCACTGTGAGCTGCAGTGTCATGGAGGGGAGTGTGTGAGAGACACACATAATAAAGTGTTTGGCTTTTTTTTTTACTTTGAGGATTATTCATCACATAAGGATTTGGGACCTGTTTAGACCATCATACAGGAACCTTTAGTCAGGGGTGTCAAACTCAATTTAATCGTGGGCCGCATCAACATTATGGTTTCCCTCAAAGGTATCTGTAAGACTATATAAATGTATCTAATCTTTATCATAATTGCCCCTGCATTCTATTATCACTGGTTTTAGTAATAACTTAATACCTAGATTTGAAAGTAGAAGTCTAGGAAATGGCCTGGTGGGCCGGATTCGGCCCCTGGGCCTTGAGTTTGACACATGTGCTTTAGATGTACTTTAAACCTGATATATATTCGCTTTTTATTAACATTCTCCATACTCCTTTTGTAGAGCTCTCTGTTATCTGCCATTATCACACGTCAAGGGCCAAGGTTCCTGACAACCGGTGACACAGGAAGACATGATTCAGAGATCCCACTGCCAGTTTGGAAGGAACGCATCGGTGAAACACCAGAGGTCAAAAGAGCAAGACTTGTATATGAGAGCCGGAAGAGAGGCATGCTGGAAAACTGTATTCTGCTCAGGTATTCAGAGGATAGTTTGTATGTGTTATGTTGATAAAGAAGAAATGTTACTTATAAATCACATTTACTCAAAACCCAACATAGTTACATAGTTAGTCAGGTTGAAAAAAGACACATGCCCATCAAGTTTAACCTGTAGAGATTAGAGGATAAAAAAAGAAAAACCTAAAACAGAACGCTATGCCCACGGTTACCCACTGTTGATCCAGAGGAAGGCAAAAATCTCTAAAGAGTAATTACTTCACAGTACAAGCAGCTAGAGAGGTCAGTGAGGGATTGTTTTCAATCACTTTTGTTGCTTGTTAAGAATATTTAAAAACATTATTAAACATAGTCTGGGCACAGGCGCACTCTAAGTGTTAAATAATCATATTTGACTGGAGTAGAACTCCGATCAGCTATACAGGTAGTTTACATACAAATAAGTAAACTGTTGCTTATGTTCTTCTTTGTGGATCATTTGTTAGTAAAATTGATACTCAAGTGCCTGTAAAGCTGGCATGCCATGTGCTGTAACTTATAGCAGCTGATCACATTACACTTTACTGAAGACAAATTACTTAAACATTAAATATGATTGGAGTCACTGCCTGTGGTACTTTATAGTTTTCCCTTATTGAATAAGCATGTTAGTCCTGTATGATTCTGGAGTCTATTTTATTTTTAAAAAGCCTCTCTCAGATGTTATTACAGCTAGTTAATTTTTGGATTTTATTTGTCTCTGCAGTCTCTTTGCCAAAAAGTATCTAAACACCATGACGGACACCCAGCTATCACAGTATGATCGGTTAATCAATGAGCCCAGCAATGACTGGGACATATACTACTGGGCCACAGGTACGTCTCAAGTATTGAAGGGATTAGAGGGAAGTGTGGTCAACATTTGCAAAAAACCAGCTGTCACTGTGTCTTTGAAGGTCTTTATAAGTTAGATGACCATTCTTGTAGATGGTCATCGGTAAGGTTGCCCTGTTTAAATCTTGCCAATTGCTATTTTTTCCGAAAATGCTGGTGCTTCTGCTGGCAGTGTTTGCTAAATGCATAGACATGCACACGTATGAGATATGAGTCTGTGTGTCCACATATACTAGAAAGAAAACTGTACATGTTGTACATGTCTATTTTTAAATCCATGTGATTTTCCATTTTACAGGAGCCCAGGAACCACCTGAGGAGTTCAACAATGAAATTATGCATCTGCTTCAGGAATATGCCAAGAACCGAGAAATGGAGCAACGTCTCAGGCAGCCAGACCTAGAAGAGTCTCATTGACTTAGATTATATATCCGTGCTCACTGAAAAAGCTGTCTATATAAAGGACTCATCTGATACAAGCTCATGTTGGTCATATATGGACAGGCCTTTCGCCAGTAACAGTGTCAGGTCTGAGTGTTCCATGCAGGCAGATGCTCAGTTTTATTCTCTGATAGTATAATATTCTTCTAACCATAAATGTACTCAAAAACTCAAAAATTTAAATTTCGTAGCAATCAGAGTTATACCCACAACATAAGGGATCTCTGACAACTCATATACCACATATGCTAGTAATGTGACATCCAGATTTGTACTTTCCAAAAATCACAGGGTATCAACTGAACAAATGGCTTGAATAAGCTATAAAATGGGTTAAAGTGACACAACATTCAGGAGTTAAATCTTAAAAATACATTCAAGTAACTTAACTATTAACAAACATGTATCTTATTTGTGTATCACTCGGCTGCAGATCTTCCAATCATCTATGAATTGGTGCTGACACTGTCCTTCCTTCTGGAGGGGTGCTACTATTGTTCCCCATGGCCGCTGTGTATGTTGTAAAGTAGCCACCCCTCCAAGCTCGCTCCTGTGATGGACAACAATCCGATGCTTAGTTAGCTAATTTGTATTGAGATTGTAGTCTATTACGGGAGTGAACTTGGAGTGTTGGCTACTTTACAACACACACAGGGACCATGTGAAACAAAAGTAGCCACCCTCCAGAAGGAAGGACAGTGTCAGCACCAATTCAGAGATGATTTGAGGATCTACAGCCGAGTGATACACAAATAAGATACATTTTTGTTAACAGTTAGGGTACCTGAATGTATTTTTAAGATTTAACTCCTGAGTTTAGTGTCACTTTAAGCATTACAGAACTAGTCCAGTTGACTGTGACTACTACTTGCCACAGTGTATGACTAGCTTTTAGAGATTCTGGACTTAGTACAGCTCCTGTAAGTGAGTCCTTATATACAACAAAGAACAAATAGAATGTCACTCGCACTCCAAGGTAGCTTCCATTCAATCTATTTATTAAGTAATGGTGCAGCATTTCCATGCAACGTTTCGGAACCAAAGAGGTTCCTTCATCAGGCAAGCTTTCAGTTTGCCTGATGAAGGGACGTCTTTGGTTCCGAAACATTGCATGGAAATGCTGCACCATTTAGTCAATAAATAGATTGACTGGAAGCTACCTTGGAGTGCGAGTGACTTTCTATTTGTTCTTTGTTATTTGTGGAGGCATCTGCCATCACTGCCGCACCCGCCCTGTGTGTGGGGAACTTCTTTCCGGTCAGGAGTGCGATGGGACGTTTTGGATATTGACTTATATAGGTCTCTGCAACAACCTTTTACAGCCATGTGTGCATTAAGCTACGTAAATAAGAGATGATAGGGGAGAGTGTGGTGTTAGGACTGTTTCAGAACTGTCAGCTTAGTTTCTGAAATGAAGCGGAAACCAGCAATTATTTGTATTGCATGTGTACTATTTCATTAATAATACATGCCCTACTATTAAAAAATGTTCTTCAAGAACTGTGGGTGGAAGGTTTTTTGTCCTAACATAATTTTTTACGTTGAATACATAATTATTTGCTGCTGTTTTTAATGAAAATGTTTGTGTTCTACAATGTATGTAAGCTTTTAGAATTTCACTCCCCAAGAGGGATGCAGATATGCCTTGTTTGACATGTTGCACCTAGATGATTCTTATGCTTGAAATATGGATTGAGAGAAAAAATAAGAGTGAGAAAAGCTGAGCCCTTCATGGCAGCTCCCAGAGGAGAGTAAAAAGAAAAAGTAAAAGTGTCATTTTAAAAAATATTTTTTTTTGCCTGGCTATGTGAGAGCAACAAATATGCAAAACAAGAAAAGAGGGGACAGCACCCACTCCTAGTGTAAAAACATTTTTTTAAATAATAAATGGAATGCACATACTCTAACAAGTCACTACTCACATTTCAATGAACGGCACACATAAGTCAGAAGGCTGACGCGTTTCGGGGGAGATTCTCCCTTCCTGTGTGTTATCAGAGAGCAAACAAATATATACATATATGTGAAATCAATCTGTATCAGAGCCAACGGGGAGTGTGTGGCAATCAATTGTTCACTATTCAGACCTGTGTGCTGTGGTAAAAAATGGTAACACTCACATTACTGTCATGCATGGTAACACACATAGGGGTCTAGTTATACATTTTTTTTGCATAGCTTGTTTGTCCAACGAAACTGCAAGTACATTAGAGTGGCGCCCTACATTTGGCCTTGTTTCCCTGAAGCAGGGTTAAATGTAGAAAAAAACCACCTGCCTGGCGCCCGGAACTGCATGTCATGGTCATCGGGTGATAGGATTTTGACACCCCTGCCTAGGCTCGCATGCCACCAGAGGGGCCTCTGCGTGCCCTCTGTGGCACACATGCCATAGGTTGGCCGCCACAGATCTAGGGGAACTAGTGCCCTGTGAAGTCGGGCCCTAAGAGAGAGGAGTGGAATGTGGGAGTAGAAATGTCCCTGCATTAGTGGAAGTAAAACTTTCCCGTGTTAAAGGAGAACTATGAGGTGAGTGCTTTTCACTCACCTCATAGTTCTAGCCGACCTGTGACAATGTCACAGGTCGGCTCAGTAGATCGGGAGGTGAGCGAACACATACCGGGTTCGCTCACCTCTCGATCCTGTCACGGCTCTCTGCCGTGACAGGGGGAGGGGCTGGATTCCCCTCTCCCCGCTCCGATCTGCCAGCGCTGACTGGCGGAACGGACGGGGGAGGGGGCGGGTACAGCTGGCTCTGCCTCTAGATAGGCAGAGCCAGCTGTCACTCACGCAACTGGGCGGATCCCGTCATCTAAGTCGGGATCCGCTCCGACTGCGGCGTCTCAGTATAACGCGAGCTACAGCTACGAGCTATACTGAGCTTAGGGTAACGGGAGGATGCTAGTTTGTGTCCTCCCGTTACCCTAAGGAGAACTATGGGGAAAAACACTGACCCCATAGTTCTCCTTTAAATAATAAAATTACATCTATAGTAAAAGACCACCTGCGCCCCCAGCATGGGTGTCCGTAATTAAAGACCATTCCTCCCCAATGTTTTGTGTTCCAGCGCCCGCCACCCATTGCCACTCTGCACAGGGTCTCTCTAGGTATACAATGGATAAGCCCCACAGTAAGCATAAGAATATATTTACATTTTTAGGGAAATAAACACATAAAGTCTATTATCCTGTGGAGGATTTTTTTTCGTTTTCATGGCAAAATAAAGCTCAAGAAAATGTATACCATAAAAACACAGTGCCAAGCATGTAAATCCTTTACACCAGTTTGTGGATGCAACTAATAAGATCTTCATTTAAGTTGCATTGTGCACCTTACAGTCTTATAATATCAATTTGGGAGACTCAACTAATCTGAGTATATAGATCCAGTCTGCAATGGAGACAGGACCTTTAAAGTAGAATTTGGCCTCTTGTGGTTGGAACTCTGTACAGGCCAAAGCTGACATTGTTTATGTTGCTATGGTGACTGTAGCCAGGTTACTCCAGGGACACATTCTGTAAATGAATTCTGTGTTTATTAAAACATCAGAGCAGTTTTATCTAAGCCTTCCACTGCAATGGGACGTCATCCTGTTGGCAGCATGTCTCCAAGGATTCGGGGGAGTGCTGGAGGAAGCTGTGACCCTCTGAACTTCTATGGTACCAACTACAACAGCTCATATGGTGAGAGTTAATATAATGCCGGTAAATTACTGGGAGGATGATGTAAATAAAGAGTAAAGAAGTTTTTCTGTAATGCTTTTTATTACTGTTTGCAGAGTATTGAGGCACAATGGCTTTAGTGAACCATAACTCTTTTCCCCCAATTTATTGGGGTTCTACAACATGTTTGTTAATTGGCTCTAGGTACATCACTTTGCACAATGCACTTTGCTTATTACTCATGCATACATGTACCAACCTGTGCACTTATAGACACAAAAGAACATAGTTATGTGGAGCAGAGCTGGGAACGGTTTTGTACATTTTTACTTAAATATGGGCCATCCACCACCAGTACTATTTCAACAAGCTGTATCTCACCCAGTCTTGAAGTTTCTCTAGGCAGGAATTTAATGAATGATGGGACACTTAGGCTACATTCACACTACAATGTAGGTGTGTTTAGGGATTCCTGCGTCAGGAACTTGCGATTTTCTGCAGCAGGAATCCCCAAATGGTAGCTGTGTCCTGTTCAAGTTACTGATTGGGTGACAGCGAGCAATTTTGTAAGAGGCAGAAAGCTGGCACACAGCATGTAAATGTATGTGATACGATTACATAGGGTTGCCACCTTTTCTTCAAGCGAAACCCGAACACTCTAGCGACGCGCAGACATATTTTTGGGGGAATGAGTCGCAGCTTATTCATATGTAAATAGCACCACCCATTCGTATGTAAATATCACAGTTGAGACTATTTTCAGTGGGGGGCCAGTAGCCCCTATATTAATTTTGGTTGCCCCTGTCTGCCTGACATCTTATGTCCGGGTTTCTGTTGCCATGAAACCTGGACAAAGCATTAAAAATCCGGACTGTCCGGGTGAATCATGGACAGGTGGCAACCCTACGATTACATGCGGCTAGGAATCAATCACTATCCCTGGATGCATAATCAATAGAAAATGGCAGATTTGGGATACCTGCTGCAGGAAATCGCAAGTTACTGATGCAGGAATCCCTAAACACACCTACATTGTAATTGTGAATATAGCCATAGGCTTGGCTTGAAGGATAAATCAACTCGTGTGTCATTTGCATAACAGTGGTAGCTGAATCAATGGCATTTGACTATTTTCATAGTAACCTGCTGGACAAAGGGGACAAACCGAGAGCTGTCTCCTCCCTCAAACCGTAGTGTTTATACATGTAAAGTGATATTAAAGACAAAAGGTTTTTAATTTATTACATATGCTAAATGACTTACAACGGATGCTGCTTCTTGATGTTTAAAAGTTTTAGTTGCCTGCAGAGTTAGCTGGTCCCCTAAACACTGGCCTTGATATCCTGTTTTATAGTGACTGCTTTCCATTGCAGGGTCCTATGGAGCCCCCTTGTGTGTGCTAGTAATCTGTGTGTGCCTCCCCAACTGAGCAAGGCAAGACACTCTCTGCCCCTTGGTCCTTAATCCTCCCTTATCCCATATGATTTTGTACTGGACGGGAAGTTCAGGGAAGCCAAGCTGAGAGAGTTGATATCTCACTTATTCAGCTACAGCGAATGCTTTTCTTTTAGGAACAGTATACAGGGCTAGATGTGTGTCCCCTCCACCTTGTGTTGTCTTGTCTGTGTTCTGTGGTACCGTTACCTGAGATTCTAACTGGCTGGCTACAGACAAAGCTAGACGAAGCCTAGCCAGGCCCGGCGCTACCGCAAGGCAAGTCAGGCGGCCGCCTTACGGCGCTGCAGGGTGAGGGCGGAAAAAACAGCGCATTTTGACAAGTACTTGTACTTGTCATAATGCCCCGATGTTTGCGCTATGTTTTTTTTTTTCACTTACCTTCGGTGTGGGAGAGCAGCGGCGAGTCAACGCTGGTCCAGTGGGAGGAGCTCCAGGTGGGGTCCTAATTTAGCTGGCCGGTGACTGCCAGAGGTGCCGCGCGTGTCAGGATCCTCTCGCAGTCGCCGGCCAGCTAAATTAGGACCCCACCTGGAGCTCCTCCCACCGGACCAGCTGGTTAATATGCCATATATGGAATATATATGTTCTAATTTTTCTCATGGACCGCTGTGTACCCACATTAGCTACCCCATCAAAGCGATAAATTCCGAACTGTAACCACCCATTATCAGATCTATAACCCATATTTAGCACCTGTTAACACATGTTTTCTTGTCGATGCTACGGTCTACGCACCGAATACTGTGATGTTATGTAATGTCAATTGTCTTCTGTGATGAAACCAATAAAAATGTATATGATAAGGAACAGTATACAGAGCCAAGCTTATAAAACTGAAAAATACAGAGAGAAAGTACACAGAGGAACTATAGGAAAGCAGCACAAGTTCTCCTTTCAGTGAGAGGAGTGTGAAAAAAGACCTCAAGAGAAAGTCACATCCTCATTGAAGTGATCAGAAGAGGAAGTGGATATATAGATAGATGGTCCACCCCATTTGTGACTTGGTTTAAAGTGAACAATAGAACTTTAAAGACCTTCACTTTACAGCCATGTTTCTCAAAACTGTGAAAAGATGTATCCTCTCATAAAAGCCAGGGTTGACCAAGAACAGCCTTGTGTGAGTCACCTAATCTCAAGGACCCCTTGACATTGGTACATTTATTACCAGTACTCCATACGTGCGTGTACATGTTCTCCAAAGTAAATGTCTTCTATGTTTTTAAAACTCCCAGAAACTTACAGATATCATTATTATTTAATAAAACTCCAAACTGTTTTGTTTTAAAAGAAGCAGAACCACCTCTCCGAGTTAGTAAGAAGTAGCCCAGGTAACATCTTTTTGAGAATAGAATAGTGGTCTACAGCAGTATATGGCACCCTTTAAAAGTATGCAAAATCTCTAGGCACCCCAGTTTAAAATGCAATATACTTTAAGGGAGACCCCATTCAAGAATAAACAAAAAAGTGGGTTTCCCCCTTCACATTGAAGTGTCCCCTTTAAATCAAGATTCCCCCTTCATATCAGAGTCACCCTTTGCATTGGGAGCCCCCCCCCCCTTTCCCATCAGCAGCCACTCTTTCATATCAGAGTTCCCCACTTTCACATCACAGTCCCCTTACCACAAAATTCTCAGGCACCCCTGAGAAAGCCAGAAGCCACACCAGAGTGCCATGGCACCCTGCTTGATAAAGAGGAGTCTACAGCACTGATGTTCATTAGCATCTGCACAATAGCCCCCATTTATCATATGAACAGTGATTTAATGTCCTCCAGCAGATGCAGATACACCCCTATGTGGAAATGATGGGCTCAATTCACTATGGGATTCAGCCAGAGTTTGGCAGATTTCTCCCTCAAAATGCCTGATGGGGAGAGATCTGTTCATCCTCATTTGGCTTTTTCCAGTGCCACCACCTGCAATGCCCTTGGCCTGCCACAGCAGAGCATCAATTGTGCATTTTATCCTTCATTCTTCTCCATAGAATGCGAGTGCCCAATACTGCCTTTAGCACTGTTTATCGCCCCTACTTGGAGAAAAAGGCCCAACTACAATATGCAATGCTAACGATAGAACATTGCTTGCAGGTGGTATGGTCATCCTTACCTGCTTGATTTATACAGAATCATAAAACTCATATATGTTGTTAAGTAAAGCAATGTAAGTAGATCACAGTTATAAAATACAAGTCTCTATGTTTATGTTCATGTAACATTTTGTTGACTCCTTCGGTATTCTCGAACTGGTGTCATGCAGGTCGCCCACAGTTTGTTCCAGGTGGTGTCCAGCATCCTGGGATTCTTACCCACCGGAGCACAGGGTACCAATCAAACTTCAGACCGGCTGTATACTATTCACCCAACTTGGACCGGAAAGATAACCCAGCCATGGGGTAAGCTTTCAATGCGGTGCTGTTAACTGTTGCATAGAGACAGCCATCTTGCCAGCTAAAGCAATAATCATGAGGAAATATATCTATGTTCTACAATACAGTGGTGTTACTGAAATCCTACTTGCAACTAATATGACAAGCTTCTAATAAATAATGGATTCCTTTGGAGATGTTTACAGTATTTCCTCTGCTAGTGAGAGAAGCACTATACTGGTTTTAAAGGAGAACTATGAGGTGAGTGCTTTTTACTAACCTCATAGTTCTAGCCGACCTGTGACAATGAGACTGTCACAGGTCGGCTCAGTAGATCGGGAGGTGAGCGAACACATACCGGCGTTCGCTCACCTCTCGATCCTGTCAAGGCTCTCTGCCGTGACAGGGGAGGGGCTGGATTCCCACCCTCCCCGCTCCGCCAGCGCTGACTGGCGGAACGGACGGGGGAGGGGGCGGGTACAGCTGGCTCTGCCTCTAGATAGGCAGAGCCAGCTGTCAGTCACGCAGCTGGGCGGATCCCGGCATAATTGTCGGGATCCGCTTCAGCTGCGATGTCTCAGTATGCCGCGAGCAGCAGTTGAGCAGTTGGCAAGAGGCTGAGCCCTACCCAACTCTAACTAAAACTTAAAGAGGGGATAGAATTTCACTTTATTTACATGTTATCTGATCAAACTGGACATCTTGCGTAATATACCTTCTCATCTTTTGCTCAGGTTAATGCTAAGGAAAAATTACACATCAATCACCAACAGAGATTTTGTCCCTCACCAACATGTTACAGGAACAGAGCCTCTGCCCCACAACCTATACTCTCCCCAGAGTGGATTCATCAGGAGCAGTGAAGTCACCATTCCCAAATCCAGAGCTGTGAGTACTGGAGGTATTTAATGATCTGCAATGTGAATGACCCATAGATAGTAGATTCATCATCATCATCGTCGTCGTCATCATTATCATCATTATCATCATCAGATAACTGTGATTTGATCAGAGTCAGACTGTGATTGCTCTGTCCACAGACATATAATGCAAAGCATTTGTTATGCTTTGGATACAGTCGGGAAGGGTTGTTATCTTGGGGTCCCTTTGGGGTGTTGTCTGTGACACCAGATTTCATGGGTAGTCTGCCGCTGCTCACCTCTTATTATAACAATGATGTTGCCTGTCTGCCATTCTGCTCCAATGGCTTCAACACTCTGCAAGTCACTGACTTGGAATAAGTTTGCAGATCAGGAGTTCTCACTTTCTGTTCTGGGTTGGTGACATTGAAAGCCAGGGACAGCCAAGCAACTAGCATCTTCAGGAAGGAGGTCAGAAATATCAGCCTACACATTGTATTAGTGCAGACTTTCTTTAATGTGTTTTGTCAGGATGACCTCATGAGTTTTATACTGCAGGTGAAGTCTGTGCACTTTGACACACGGGATCATGGTTCTGGAGTTATTGCTGGCATCCCGCCACACCATCGACCTCTGCTGTTTATGCCTCATGGAAAGGGATCCCCTGAGGTTGAAAACCTCAGAAATGTGAGTAAAAAATGTTCAAATAGTTTTGTTTTTCAAGAAGTACCTGTTCTGAGACCCACAATCCATATACCCATTGCACTCCTGACCGCTTATCCATAATAAGAATGGTTGGGTGCATCGGCAGTCGACAGGTGGCTACCGTCCAGTAATACAAAAAAGTATGCACACCGGCACTCCAAAGGTAGTAGTACGTCTATTTATTGACGCACGTGCAAGACATGCTCATTGCATGTGCGTCAACAAATAGATGTACTTCTACCTTTGGAGTGCCGGTGTCCATACTGTTCTGAGACCCAGTGAAGTAATCTCTAGGTCGGTCTGCTGCTTTTGCTCTGAGTTTGGTAGGCTCCTGTATACGTTACAGCTCACGGACTGATGATATGAAAGAACACATCCCCAGGAACCCTTTAGATGTGCCTGCTTCTCCCTGCTGGCGACTGGGTGCTACAGACTTTAACTCTGCAATTTGTTGATTGGTTGACTGGTTGTAGGCATGTCTAAAGGGATGCCGGGGATGTGTTCTTTCACGTAAAGCTCAGGAACAAAATGGTTGATGTCGGAGAAAGCTAAAAGCTGTGAGGTGAGGGGGGCGGGGGGGTCAACCACAGTACAGATCAGGAGGGAGAAGTGATTGATGAATGTCGGAGGTTGTTCCAACAGAAAATGGAGGTGGGCTCAAGATAGCTGCTGCTGCCGCTTCAAAGATGTGGCGATGCCAGTTTACAGAAAATTGAGAGTAATCAGTTTCAAAGCTAATGAGTTATTGATGGACACAATTAGAATTGATGAAAATTAACATTATATTATATTAACATTATATTGGAAATGTTTATGGGACTCTCAGGATCTGTACATTTTAACTGCCCGCTTCAGAGAACTTAATGTGTAAATCCGGCCAAAACCTATTTTTTGGAGAGTTTATGGTTTAGAAGCTCTGTCAAGCTTTTTATTGCTACTGAGTTGGGCTTGCCCCTCATCTTTATAGAGTTTGTAGTCACGCCTGCACACTGCAATACTGGTGCTGGAAGATTAATGTACAGACTGCCCGGGTATTCTATAGTGGGTGCGTGCTGCATCTGAGGTCTGTCTGGGTATAGATAAGAGGGGGGACCTGCATAGGGTTTTTTAGGATATGAGTTTACCTCTACTTTAATGCATGCACATATATGTGAAAGGGTCTGAAGACGCTATGTTTTGGGCAGTGCTGTGAGGGCAAATGTAAAATTGTGCAGCTGCCAGCAGAACACAAGGGCAATCTTCAAATGGGAACACTTATTCCAGTAACATCTGTCAAAGGTTGGATTTCCTCTTAACTTTAAAGAGATTTCCCCTCAATTCCTATTGTGTCCCTAGTGCAGGAAGCGTGCACAAATATCTCCAAGGGGGACACAAATCACAATAAAATCCACACAAAGGTTCTAAACTTTCTTCACTATGCCCAAAGTTGAAAAAAAAGGTTTTGGCTGGAGTTTCTCTTAAGCCACATAGGAAGTGAGTGACCACCGGAGGCTTGACAGTGGATCTAAGTCTTCCCCTGGTTATCTAAATCTAAAACAAGTGGCTGGAATTAAAAGCACTTACGAGGTTGTCTCAATGACTGTATTGTATAGAAAGGAAATGTGTTCAGCTTCTCTCTGTCTCTAACAGTGTGACCTTTATATGTCATAGGGTCCATCTTTTATGTCTACAGAATATAAAAACAGATTCTATGTACAGTCACCCCATCAGACAGGTGAGTCATTTGTATCTCCTTCAAAATTAACATGTAAGGGTCATTTCCCCCAAAACTGACTTTCTATTTCTATATGGATGCTGGCAGGTTGAATCACTAGCTAGCTTCACACATCATTTTTGGGACTTAGGATGATGCCAAGGGGATCATTTGCAAAAAAATCATTTATAAAAGGATACCAGTTTTTTGGCACTAGTGCCCCTAGATGGCAATGATGAGCATAGGAAATGTCTATACTCGTCAGTGCCATCTAGGAGTACTAGTGCGGTGCGAATGGCATCTGCCCAGCTATACGCTGAGCAGAACTTTTATAAATGAACCTCCAAGTATCTGCACTTGAGTTTCAAAGTCTTCCCAGCAGCCACAGCCATTGCAAACCTATTAATCCACACATGTGACTGCATTTGTGTGATTGACATACTGTATTTTGTCCTGTTATTTAAAATATGGACCATATAATACGTCTACATCCATGAAGTCTCAAATTAATCCAGAATAGGTCTGCATGTGCACATTGTACAGTTAGCATTTAAGCAAACCTGCCATTAGAAAAGTACAGGGACTGCCATTGTCCTGGGACTGTGGATGAAAACATATTGTTGCCAAACATACCCACCACCTTCTAATAATGTTTGGGTGGTGGGTATGTTTGGCAGCAATACATTTTCACTCACAGTCCCAAGACAAGCAGGTTGTATATGAGTGTCAATATTCCATATCTCTATACTTCTTGCAGGTCACTGGATATAGAGCGAAAAGGACAAGATCAGTGGCGTAAAAATCACCATAGCGACCCAGGCGGCCGCTATGGGGCCCGGGGCACAGTGGGGCCCAGCCAGATGCCGTGCTGGCCGCTATGGGATCCTCTGCTGCTGGCTTTCACTAGCGGCTGAGGACGAACACGCCACAGTTCAGATCACTGACAGTAATCTGTGCAGCGGCGCGTTCCTCTCCACAGAGTCAATGAGAGCCAGCAGCGGCGGTGGAGCCCATGGTAGGCAGCAGTGGAGGAGGCGGGGCCCATCAGCGACCGTGGACAAAGAGGAGGCGGACAGGTAAGGAGTGCGACCTGCCCACCTGAGGGTGACCCTGCAGAGCCCACCATAGACACTCTATGGTGGGCTCTGCAGGGTCACCCTCAGGTGGGATCTCGAGTGGGCTCTGCAAGGGGTATAACTAGAAATCACAGGGCCTCATACAAAATTTTGCTATGGGGCCCTGTGATTTCTAGTTACGCCCCTGGACGAGAGTGCCGTAAAATTGAGTCGACGTACAGTATAATCTTTATTTGTCACAATACGGTCTAGCATGAATTGGCAGCCAAGGCATTTTGAGGATTATGTTTAAATTCCCCTTCATCAGGGCTTAGATTTTCTGGGTAAGAGGAATCTGCATGGATGGTTAATCATGGGTTGTTTTTTTTGTAGCTGCAGCTAGAAGTTCACTCGGTTCTGTTGTCTGACAGCCTGGCAACTTAATTAAATGATCTTCTACCTGTTGCCAGGTCTTGATAGACCATTTTATTGTGACAAATAAAGATATCTGGACAGATTCCTATGGCTTGTTGCTCTTGTCCTTTCACTTGATATAAGCTGACTTTGACCTGACAGGGCTCCAATAAGCAAAACTAAAGCTGACATACTATAACAGTAATGTAAATCGTTTGGGACCTCAACTAATCTTGGAGTCCAGCGCTCTACCACCCTGTGGGGAGGCATCTAGAGAATCAGTATGACAGACAGTTAACTAGCATTTTCAGAAGAAATGGTTAGCAATGGCAGCCTACATGGTTCACTCATGAAAGATTTAATTTAAAGAAGAACTATGGGGTCAGTGCTTTTCCCCATAGTTCTCCCCAGGGTAAAGGGAGGACACAAACTAGCGTCCTCCCGTGACCCAAAGCTCAGTATACTGTGAGATCCACCCAGCTGCGTGATTGACAGCTGGCTCTGCCTATCTAGAGGCAGAGCCAGCTGTACCTGCCCCTTCCCCCATCTGTTCCGTCAGTTAGCGCTGGAGGATCAGAGCGGGAAGGGGGGGAGAATCCCTGCAGGGAGCCGTGAGTGACAGTCACGGCTCTCTGAAGGGACATGATCGAGAAGGGAGCGAACAACGGTATGTGTTCGCTCACTTCCCGATCTATTGAGCCGACGTGTGACAGTTTTATTGTCACAGGTCGGTTAGAACTATGAGGCTGAGTGAAAATCACTCACCTCATAGTTCTCCTTTAAGGAGAGCCTGCAATCCACGCTCAGAATAATACGATGTGAGTTGTATATTTGACAGCTCCAGTCATTCCCGTGCAATGTACCTCTCAGTACAAGAGGTAAAAAGCAGATACTTTATAAATATAATACTGTATCATGATTCTGCCATCATCCACCATCTTTTTATTTGCAGGCTCCTCTCAAAATGCTGTTATTGGAGCTATGGAAAATTCAGGATTTACCGAGGGGTCAAACAAGGAACCCATTACCCATGATCCACACTCACAGTACTGTGAGCCGGTAAGCAAGATAATACATTCACTGTATAAATTACCATACCGGATAAGGAATTAAAGGCACACCCTTATTAAACCAGAAACCCTGGAGATGCTTACAGGAAGCAGTCTACCTGCTCAGTACTTCAGTTTTTCATTTAGGCATAGTTGAAGTGTGCCAATCCACCCCGTCCCTTTTGTTGGTCATCTGGTGTTATGGAAACCCCCTGTTGTAATAGCAGGAGAATTCTGAGACAAACCCACTGCAGGGTCATTACACCAGTAGGTTGTGTACCCCTGGTGATACATCTGACTGGTTAAAGGTATATTAGATTAAAAATTGTAAATAAAATATTGAGGTGTACAGAGTACGGCCCATTAAGGCATCTGTGCACTGTACCCACAAACTTTTATCAGTAACCTTCTGATTCTGGAATGCAGCTACTTGTGATGTAGGAAAACCCACTGCAGGCTTCTTGCAGCCTATAACATGCAGACTATATGTTACGCACAATATGAAAAGTCTTGCTTTGTAAAGACACCTTCTTCTTTAATTTTTTTTGTAGCAGTCACGTGACCTTTTGCGGAATACTTGAGTTGGCTGGGGTAGTGGGCAGAGAGTCTAAGGCTAGGTTCACACCTTGGCAACACAACAGCATTTTTGCTAGTTTCTATGCGCATAAATCCAGTCGCATGTTTTTTGTGAGAGAATTGTGACACATTGATGTTAATAAGCAAACGCCCATAAAATGCGGTAAAAAAACTCACAAAAACACAGCAAACTTGCGTTTTTGAGCATATTCATTGGAGTCTTTGGGGCCAAGAAGCACTTTATCTGACAAAAAGAAGTTCTTGTACTTTTTCCAGTGATGGGCGTTTTGCTACAAGCTACAAAACGCTCAGATGTGAACATGGCCATAGAAATGAATGGGATTTTGTTTTGGGAGTATTTTTTGTGTTTTTTAGGGAAGAAAAGGCGCTACAAAACACTACGTGTGAACCAGGACTAAGCGAGATTTATGTGCATAAAACGCACACAACAATGTGCAAATACGCGCATAGAAACGAGCAAAAACGCTGTCGCCTAGGTGTGAACCCAGCCTTAGTTAGCCACTTCTGGTGACATGACTCACTTGTCCTGAAGTTCAATTTCTTCCTCTTCCTCCTATGAGCTGATTTGCAGGTTTGCCAGCTGGAAGCTGCACAGCGGGAGAGCGGGATGACAATGCCAGGGCTGTACTGGGTTGTGGGCGAGTGGTGTCACCCACAAAAAAAGGAAGTGCCAGGCCTGAAAGTTTAAATTCATAATTTAAAAAAAATAAAATAATATGCACCAATGTTAAAATCTAGCCATCCCATCCATGCCGAGGTGACACATATACAACTTTATCTGTGCCAATTACTAATGTATTTGATGTGGATTTGTGATTACACCAGCACTGTCACCTTCACGTTTTATTTTGTAGGTGGGGTATCACCGACTGATGGGACTCAGTATCACCAAGACTGATTTTCTGCCAAGCTCCATTTTACAGGTATACATTGCATATTGAATGATGTGTTTATGACCTGGGGGCCATTTACTAAAACAAAAAAGTGAAGAGCCCACAGAAGTTAAATTTCAGTTTATATTTTTGTGGTGCAGGTTACTAAAAAAAAAAAAATGTGTTTTCAACTCTGCATTTTTATGGGGTCTTTTTGTAAAGGTCGTGGGAATCCATGCATATCTGGCTTGCCTAGACTTGTTTACATTACTGGGTATTTATTAAGGTGATTAAAAAAGAGTTGAATGTGACAACGACAGTCTCATATCCCGCCACTGCCACCAGAATGTGACAGCTGCACTCAGCCTCACCCAGCACAGAGACTTTCCAGCACGTGGGCAGGGCCGGATTTACTCTCTCTCTGCTGCCCTAAGGACAGGTTCCTCAATGTGCCCCCCTACCCACCAAACCCCCCCCAGACCTGCAAGCTGCATACAAGTGATCTCGGTGGCAGTGCCAAGATCACTTATACAAAACAAGCGTTGGCTTCCCTGCTGTACATTTAGCTCTGCTTGCCCAAAGCAGGGCTAAATGTAGAAAACGACCCACCCGGCGCCCGGAACTGCATGTCACGGGCATCAGGAGATAGGTATTCCACACCCCTGCTGCCCCTCTACTCCCTGCTACCCCAAGGCTGGGCCTTGGTTGGCTTTGTGGGAAATCTGGTCCTGCCTGCAGGGCAACAATCTAAGTGCCAGCAGACTGAGAGTGATCGTTACTGGGGTCAGTTAACTCACAGTTAACCCTTTACCCCCATAAGGAGTACCCATCTCCACATATTCTAACAGTATCACACACCATTCACAGCATCTGCTGTCTGCTGTAGCCATTTGGAACTTGCCATTGCAAATTCTGTACACACGCTGCCACGCCCAGGCAGGAATGTTCACAATTTAAAATATGGAAGCTTTCCTGAGGGCTTGTTCACACCAAGCGCGGAGCAGATCCAGAGCAGATCAGTTGCAGACCGGATCAAAACTGCGTCCAATGTATTCCAATGGTATTTTTTGCTGCAGTTCACATCGCAGCGGCGTGCAGTTGCAGAGCAGATCCAGAGCAGGTGAAAAAACTGCAGCAGGCCCTATTTTACCTGCTCTGGAGCGCATCAAAAACGCATGCCAATGCCTGGAACACACTGAAAGCCCATTTAAAACTTACATTTTTTTTACCAAAAAGAGCCCGGAACGCATCAAAAACACGTACAAAAAAACGCGTCTAAAAGACTAGTGTGCGTGTGCAGAAACCTGACCGGATCTGCTCTGCATTTGGTGTGAACAAAGAGGCAGGTTTTCCTACAGGGATTAGTTACAGAGTATTTGAGGTTGAATAAAGACACAGGTCCATCGAGTTCCATCGAGTACCATTCCCTCAAACAATTTGCATACTATTTATGTCAAGCTGACCAGTCTGTAGTTCCAATTGAGCATCAGGCTGGCATCTTTAACCTTTTTTGAATTATTTTATGTCTTATTAAGAACACTCAGAGATTTAGCTAAATTATGTTTAAAATGTATTTCTAATGGAGAAAAAAAAGACAATTACAGAATATTACAACAGAGACAATAAGCAAATTATACAAAAAATAGGATTAAAAGTGAAAAGTACTCAGCAAAGTTCGCTCGGTCTTTGGTTTCGGCAGAGTCCAATCCACTGCAATCTGATGGACTAAAGGTCGTCGGCTTTTTATGAATGAAATTTGGGTGGTAAAATTAGATCTTTAAACTGCAGATATGTGTTGACCCTTCAGAGGGTATCATGAGCCAACCCCAACCCAATCAAAAAAGCTGAGGCGTGTGATGTAGGAGTGCTGAAGTGTTTGATTACACCTCAGTGGACACTTCCTTTATGCCAAGTATTTAAACCAGGGGTCTCAAACCTCCTGCCCTCCAGCTGTGGTGGAACTACAAATCCCATGAGGCATTGCAAGATTCTGACAACCACAGACATGACTGCTGAAGAGAGATGCATCATGGGATTTGTAGTTTCACCTCAGCTGGAGGGCCGGAGGTTTGAGACCCCTGATTTTAACCATAGCTATACGATTTGCTATGAATCTTATGAATATTCTCCTTAGGAGATGTAATGTGCCCAATTTGCCTGATGAACATAACAGCACAGGCATGTTTGATGTCTGATCGTCTTTCTATGGAAATTGTTTGAAACTTAACTTTTGGCAGCTCATCTGTATGTTAGCATAGGTCAGTAACCCCAGTCTCTGGCTTTCCAGTACTGTTTATGAAAGCCATTTAGGCACTTACAGCCAGGCTCATTAATAGACTGTGCAAGATGTTTGAACTGAAATGTTTTATTGGGATTTATGATGGCTGCCTGCCTTGTGTTGTTTCAACCTGGTGTGTGGTCTCCCAAAGTGGTCCCTTCTACCTCACAGACAGAAGACATTAAATTTGATTGTTTTGTAGCTCAATTGCAGATTTTTGAGGAAATGTTGTGTGCACTGTGTTCAGCACAGCTTCCCCCTTATTCCCCCCTTAGTTTGGGGTTCATCAGACCTCATTATCATCACAAAATGAGACTGAAGATATTGGTTATTTGTGCACCAAATGTGCAGAAAATGTGAATTGAGGCAGACGAACAGTGCTGGTATCTGCAGCAAATAATTGGATTAAGCTTGAAAGAGAACTATGCGGTGAGTGATTTCCACTCATCCTCATAGTTAGAGCCGACCTGTGACAATGAACCTGTCACAGGTCGGCTCTATCGATCGGGAAGTGAGCATAAAATGCATCCGATCCGCTCACTTCCCCACCATCTCCCTGCAGTGAGCGGTGACTGTCAGGCACCGCTCCCCGCAGCGATTCCCCCCTCCCGTCTCCAATCCTCCAGCGCTGACTGGCGGAACGAACGGAGGGAGGGAGCGGGCACAGCTGGCTCTGCCTCTAGATAGGCAGTGCCAGCTGTCACTCACGCAGCTGGGTGGATCTCGACAGTATTGTGCATGTGCAATATTTTTGGAGTGAAGCTTGGAACAGTGGTGGGATATTTTGCCACTGGAGTCCCTACAGATTGAACCATCCAATAGCTTTGAAACCAGTTTATATGTTTTTTACAAAAATAATGCTAATATTTCAGGGTAAACTTATGTATGCTAGTGTTTCATTTAATCTCATCTGTTTTGCAGGGACGAGAGCCACTTCCAGCATTAGCCAGGAACTCTGAAAGAGACAGCGGTTTCTCCCGGGAAACAGATAAAGTACTCTTCATCAGTGTAAGATTCAGTTTTGCCCTTGCTGCTATCGTGACTGACATGTCCTACGGGGCTGGGCGAAAAAAAAAAAAACTCAAAATGTATGGCCAGCTTCTATGTATGTGGCAATCCACTACATGTTGCCTGCAACTGTAATAGTGCATTGGGGTGTCATTCAAAGTGAATGGCTTTACAGCAACTATGGCTGACACATTACCAGAAAGCATAGATATTAATGGACCACAACATTACATAATTCAACATGTTTTGTTCTTGAAAATATTTGTTTGCTCAATATAGATACAGTATATGCAGAATTGTAAAATTACATTAATGAAGAGGCGTAATTAGATTTTTTTTTTGTGTGCTGTCTATATGTACATTACAAACACAGTCTATGCCTGGAGACTCTAGATCTGGCAACTCCATGAAGCAGAAGAATGATCTTCTAGGAAGAACTTACGTTGGAAAGAAGGTCTGTATACAAACAGTTTTGTTATTTTAGGTACTGGGTGAAATTAGTTTTAACTAAACTGAGAAAATGTTTGCCCTCTTTCAGGAATCATCTGGATTCAATAACAATAATCTGAAATATGTGCAACCTGAGGTGGAGCTTCCACAACATTACCTGACCAACTATAACCAAAGGTACTTTACAGCAAAAAATAAGTTTGCCCCAGTGGCTTTAATACCTAAGGATATAAATGAGCCGTAGTAGCACTTACAAAGCAATAAATAGACAGTAAATGGGATTACCCAACATGCACATAAAAGTGGTTGTGGGTTTGGAAAATGCAAGAATTGGAGTGTATCAAGCTGGACATTGTGATTTCATTAGCTGGGGCACATTAGGTTCACTTCACCAAGATGGTTGAGCTCTTTAAACATCATTCTATAAATTATTTTAATCTAAACAGCTGATTTTCAGGATCTCCTCTACAGAGACCTCAAAAGCTCAGTTATTGGCAGCCTGAACCTGGAGATATTTAAAGCAGAACTAAACTCACCAATTTAACTTTTGCAAGTTTGTGACATTCAAGACATGCCCCTGGTGATAACGGTCATAGTTGCCACTGCGCCATGTCAGCTCTCATCTGAACTTTTAAGCCTTTGAATGGCTGGTGTCACAGCTGATCGCATGTGCAGCACCATGGCAACTGTTGATCTAACTAGAAGCTAAGATGGCGTTGTCTTTGCTGCACAAGGATAGGAGAGTTTAGTTCCACTGTAATTTTTTATTAACACTGCAAAATTTCAGTGTTAATAAACTTCTACTTACAAAATACCTCAAAACATGATAAACTAACGTGTGTGGTAAATTCAAATGATTCATGAAATAATGGCTTTAATAAAATAATTTTCAATAGTAAAATAAGCATATAGCACACAGTAACAAAACCAGCATTTTTGTGCTCACCGTAATTTGTTTTCCCTCTATTGTCCATTGAGGGACAGGACTTTATGGTAACAATCAACTAAGGATTTTACTGCTGCCTACAAGGAAAATGGAAACGAGGTGCATATAAACCGAAGGCCAGTCCCCTAAGCTTTAAAGGAGAACTATGGGGTTAAGGCTTTTCCCCATAGTTCTCCTAAGGGTAACGTAGGACACAAACTAGCGTCCTCCCGTCACCCAAAGCTCAGTATACTGCCAGCTACAGCTCACGGTATACTGAGATGCCACAGCCGTAACGGATCCCAACAATTCTGTCGGGATCCACCCAGCTGCGTGAGTGACAGCTGGTTCTGCCTATCTAGAGGCAGAGCCAGCTGTACCGGCCACTTCCCCCGTCCGTTCCACAAGTCAGCACTGGAGGATTGGACAGGGGAGGGGGGAATCCTTGCAGGGAGCTGTGAGTGACAGCACGGATAGATCGAGAAGTGAGCGAGCGCCGGTATGTGTTCGCTCACTTCCCGATCTACTGAGCCGACCTGTGACAGTTTCATTGTCACAGGTCGGCTCAGATTATGAGGCTGAGTGAAAATCACTCGCCTCATAATTCTCCTTTAACCTCTCCCACCTCTCACCTTGTTGGTTATGCTTAGTGTCCTCTGGAGAATGGATGTCTCCTCTCTGCTAGATTTATTGCTTAAATTGGAAGATTTTCTACAATCAACTGTTACTGGTATATTCAGGATATGTTAAATCCTGGAAGTCTCTCCAGTTATCCAACGAGCACAGGTTTTCCCAGTTTGTTTAATTAACTGGCGATCTCTCTGCAATGGTCTCCTCACGTTGGCAATGACCAGTTAGCCTACCAACCATCTGGCAGCATCCTCAGTACAATGTCACAACATTGTGACAGTGGATACACTGCTGGTGATTTTTACAATGCATTCTACATGGGCAAGTAGTCACAAAGCTTTTGTTTTTAAACCATGATACAGCTCAAGGCTCTGGTCTGTGGTATTCCTGGGAATTTGTAGTTGTGTTTTCAAACTGTCAGATAATTGGAATGCCGGGACTAACTAGAACGCCATTTGCATCCTTTACCTTCTCGCAAAAGCTATTACAAAAAGTAATGTTTTTGTTTCTTACTTTCAATAAATGTATTTTCTCCTCTACTGCAGGTTTAGAGATCTAGCAACGCACGGGAGAGATCGTGAAGGCTGGACTCGTTTTGGAATACAGAATCAACTCCACAGCGGCTTCTCCGTAAATAATGAAATACACATAACTAGTATTTAAGCCAAAGTTAGGAAGTGAGACTCGGAGACTAAAATAAAAAAACAAAATGTTTCAAAACCCGAACTTTTGTCATATTTTACTTTGCACACCTCTGGATACAGAAGAATATAGTCTAATAATGCCCCCTACAGCAGCTCTTATTATGCGACCCTCCTTTGCAACCCCAGACTCCCTGTTGAGCTTTGTTGCCAGATCAGTTTGGTCACTTGCTTTTCATCCTGCAGTGTACCAGAAAAAAAATTACCCTACAGCTAAAATCTTTCAGACAACATGTGAACCACCGTATTTTCATGACCAAAAATCTAAAATGAATAATCACGTCTCTGTAACATACTGATACTGTATTTAGAAACGATAAACCTTGTGGGTGATGAGTAGGTGGTTGCTTTCTCTATCGACTTTTGAGGGACACAGCTGGTTAGTAAGCAACCTAGGGTTATAGTGCTGCCTGCAGGAGTAATGAACACTAGGCACAAACATCTGGACGCCAACCCCCCAGAGACTATTACCCCTCCCTCCTGCTTAAGTTTTGCTTGGTGCCCTTAGAAGAATTAAGCCTTTGACACATTGCATGTGAAGCAGCGCAGATCGGTGGTGCACGGACCTTCGCATGCAGTGTGTCATGTCATTTTCACTCTGGCGCGTCAGCTTGCAAGAGCTCGCATAGCTGAGCGTGCTGAGATGAAAAATGTAATCTACAGCCAATCAGCAAGCATGTGTAAACCCACGTGTCACAATGCAAAGTCTATTTGGTTGTAACGTGTGAGCCGATTGGCTGAAGATGCAGTCTTTCATCTGGCTGTGCTCAGCTCACACACTGCACGCTAGTGCACACAAGCACAGAACACCTTCCTTCTGTTTTCTCACCTCAGCGGCAGCTCTGCAGAGCACATATAGTGGTGCCTGTAAAAATAGAAAGCAGTAATAATACAGTACGGCACTCTGATGGGGACAACCAATGTAAGGGGGGCACTCTGATGGGGACAACCAATGTAAGGGGGCACCCTGGTGGGGATGTGCACAACCAATGTAAGGGGGCACTCTGATGGGGACAACCAATGTAAGGGGGCACTCTGATGGGGACAACCAATGTAAGGGGGCACCCTGGTGGGGATGTGCACAACCAATGTAAGGGGGCACTCATAATGTTTAGTTGTCCATATCAGAGTGCCCCTTTAGACTCGTTACTAAATAAGGGGGTATTCTAATGTGGACAACTAATGTGAGGGGAAAGCTTTGAAGGGGACACGTAATGTAAGGGGGTACTCTAATAGGGTCCCAACAAAATGTTTAATCCTAATTGGAATTGTCTTGTACCACCCCCGAATTATTGATTAGATAGAACACAACTCATTTAAAAGAACCCTGCCAGACTTACACTTCCCATTGTACTTATTTTTAAACCAATTAATCTTTATTAAAACATAATACAAAATATACAATCACAAATTCTTCATAGAGCAGTATTCCAATGTAACTGACCTGTAAATGTCCCGAGACATTATCCTAATTTGATCACTGGACCAAATATCACTTCACATTGACAACCCAAGAAGTCTATTTATCATACATACTTAAAGGCCATTTGTATTTAAACCTGTAAAATACTGGTATGGCCAGTGAGCAAAGATATGTCTCTATGCGTTTCGCAACACTTTGCGGCCTGTCGCTTCCTCAGGAGGCAGAAAATTCTCAGGTATGTGGTATTACATAATAAAAGTCAATAAAAAATATTCCTAGACGGAGGGCGCATGCGCGGGCTACGCCAAGATGGCCGCTTAGCGTGAGTGCTCTGCACCTCGCCGTCACGATACCTCTTCCCGGCAGCTAGGAAAGCTTTGCGCGGCACGATCGAGGCTGAAGGGTGCTAAGGTCCCGCTCTAGATCCGGACATACATAATAAAAGTCAACCGCTGGGACAGCAAAGAACATAATCCATCAACTCACTCAAATAGTTCTTATTTTTGCACCATTTACTAGTCATACAAATACCTTTCAAAAACAAATATTGCCAAGTGTATCACAGTGGACATTGGGGATGGGGGGTTGACTGTTTTTCTCTGCTGTTGTCACACTTTCACTTACAAGTCCCCATCCCCATCTTGTGCAGTGAAAGGAGAAGTATCACACTGATGAGCCTATTTCTTAGTTACTCTGCTTTTTCCACGTATCCGCGTGCTCCTCACACGGCAACACAGCTGAGTGGCTTCTTGTACTGCTTCTCGCTCCCCCTCTCCAAACTCTGCAGATTGCAGGAGTCTGATGCTAAATCAAGTTCATCTACTTACACAGATTGCATGAACAAAAATATAATGATATATGAACCACCTCAGGACCAGAGCAATTTGTTTATTTTTTTACACATCAAAACCTGAGGGATCTATTCACTAAGCTGCCAAAGGAGCCGAGAGAAAAACCGAGCTGAAGTGAAGGGAACCGCACGCCGTTCGGCTGTCAGCCGTACATCGGCAGTCTTCAGCTCAATTCAGTTCCGCTGAACATGCTCAGCCATTGCGGACAAGGGCCTCTTCCCCACAAGCCCTGACCCGTTGATGGTGGGGGTCTGTGGGCAGGGGGGCTTAAAGGGGTACCCCAATGCAAATAAGCCCCCCTGCCCACAGACCCCCACCATCAACGGGTCAGGGCTTGTGGGGAAAAGGGCCCTTGTCCCCATCAGCATGTGGACAAGGTGCTTTTCCAAGGGGTGTCCCTGGAAAATGACCCTCCCAGTGCCGAGGGCATGCAGCCTGGTATGGCAGGGAGGGGGGGGGG